ATGTCTTATATATATATATATATATATATAGGATTTTGGGGTCATCACTAACTAGACACGTTTACACTACTAATAGTGTAATTCATATACACTTATTGCAATCCTTTTTTTTTTTTTTTTTCGTAACAATATTGTCGAGGTTGAGATGAGTTACTTGCATCTTTATAGCACGGCTGAGATGATCTATTTGTATGTTCATAGTACAATATTTGAGATGTGATTTTGTAAAACCAATACACTTCAAAATACTATGGTGTTTGTTTTTGTATTTTATTTCGATTAGTATACATCTTTATCAACGGAAAGAAAAATGGGTAACATCTTTGCAATTATATATAGTAGGATGCAGTTTCTATGAGACCTATGCTTATGAAAACAAAATAAAGTCTCACCTTTAATTATCATTTGGAAAGCACTTGGGCACCAAAAATCTTTATGAAAGTTCTAAAATCAATTTCTAATATATATTATAAATTTTGAAGCTCAAAAAATGGTACGTATCGTGTTGATCCGTGAACACTTTTTTTTAAGGCAAAATGGATTAGTTATTTTCAGGCTTGATGAAACAGTCTGTTATCGTAACAGCATTGAAGTCATGATCGAGGAGAGTGCCAAAGGGGAGCGGTTCACTAGTCGAGGCATGATATGCCCAGTGTTTGAATCACCAACTTGGATTGATTGATATCCTTTTTCCGGTAAGTAGGTCAGTAGGTTGGTCACTAGAGATTAAAAATAGGTTTTAAGTTGTCTCGGCACGGATAAATGAGAGGAGTGACCTAGTTTGTTGTTTTATAATATATACTATTTTTAGGATTTGAAATTTTTTTTTATTTTTTATGACCATATCGTTGCGATGATCGATTTGAATGTTTTCAAACGGGAAAAGTACAACTTTATGTAAGTTTTTAGGTGAGGCTTTATTTTTATTTTATTTTTGATAAGGTTCAAAATAATCTTCCTCTCTTGCTTTTAATTTTGTCCCTATTGGTAATCTCCTTGTTCATCCCATAAAACCTTATTTTATTTATTTTACAGGAATGGGCTCTCAATCTTAGCTCTCCTTTATGAAAGAGCATAAATAATGGTTGTGCTTTTCATGAACTCCCGTGTTTCCAATAAAATCTTACCCACCTTAAAAACAGAAAAAGAAAGGTCACTCTCACTGAATTCCCTTCTATTATGTCTCCTCCCAAATGTCTTGTGCATACCCCACCTTAGTGACCATTTTCAACTTTCCTTTTGTCAAAAGATATTCTACTGCCTCGAGAGTGGAATGTGCATATGCTCCCCTAGCAAAACTCCATTTATAATTAAATTTAGGACCCCAAATTTTTTGGAATGTAATTCAACCTATAGATTAACCTCGATAAAAAAAATTTACTTAATTGTACCTTGCGTACACTTGAAAAAATAATATCTTGAGATTGAATGTAGACTTTCTGATTTTTCGATTGAGGTATAGTGTAAGAAAACTCAAATTTCATTTATTTTTTAGAATAACTATCTACTAATTCTTAAGGGTTTCTCAAAATTTCATATTGAAAAAATCCTCCCAAACAAGTCTTCTGACCGAGGGAGTAGAAGTAAACTATGCTCCCGAGAGAAGCATATAATACATCCTCTTTTATTTTAACATTACATTTTGCAGGAATCTTAAATGTCATTGTTAGTGGATACTTTTCTTTGGTAGGGGTGTAAATGAACTCGAATGTGGTCTAGGTCATCGAACTCGAACCCGTCATAGGGTTCGTTAGAGCCAGGTCAAGATAAAAAAGAAACACATTGTTGTGAATATTTTGTAGCATGTAAATCATACATATAGATATGTATAAATATTGGTTCCAGACGACCTGACCGCATCAAAAGAAGTCCTAGATGGACCCAAAAACAATCCAATTTGGGTCCAAGTCAAATGGACCTAGACTTAGCCCCTTGGATCCAATATCTGGATCCAGACCTGGGTCTAGGTCAGGTCGACGTGTCGGATCTATCTTACGTTATTGCCGCCCCTAATGTTGGTCCATTGTATTACTTATTTGTTATTTGAATTAAATTGATAAACGTTGTTTATTTGTATACTATAATATCATTTACATTTGATACATCAAGTCACGATCACTCATAGCCGTTAGATGTAAAATCAGTAGCCTATCTCAAAATTTTGGCATTTGAATATCATTAATTACAAACTCCCGCCAATTCAGTTTCGCATCTGGGCGATCTGTTCACAATCAAATGTAGAAGTCAATGTTTCAAAAATCATTTTGTCCCACTTCGGACTCTTTTGAGTTGGAGTGGATGAGGAGGATAAGGGTGGCAATGGATCCAGTACCTAACGGTTAGATCCATCCCTTGTCCAAGTATGGGTTCAAAGATTTGACCTAGTGGGTTGAGTCCGGGTCCAAATCTTGGACTTGAACACTATTCCAATTTCGGTCCAGGTCCAATCAGATCCAGGTCCCACATTATATTTTTGGGTCTCAATTTATAAAATATGTTTTTACATATATAGGTATTTTAGTTTTTCCTAGCCGTTCGTTATAAATGAACAACTAAAACATCTTTAGTCGTGCTTAATGCTCTATCGTTTTAAATTTTTTATATAAATCACCGTGACATGAAATATGAAGTGTTTCCGCTCTTTATAGGAGCACACGTAACAAAAGTAAAAAAAAAAATTGATAGAATAAAATGACCAAACTTTCTAAATATTATGACTAAAAATATCACAATTATCTATTCAGATCAGATAGCTAGGGCTAATAATCAAAATATATTATTACGTGTGGGTGGTCCCTGAAGGCTCTTCTTTAAGGACATTGTTATGAGTCCATGTAGAAATGAGTCACATCTTAAAAATCTATTTTTCTTATGGATTTGTGGGCCTTATTTTTAAGGACATATAGTCTCTAACATGAAGATCATGAATATGAAAAAATAAATAAATTTTGAAAATTAAAATAATATTTCTATTAAAAAAATATTTGTACCTTTAGTTTCAATTGTTTATAGAACGACCACCTATTTTGCATTCATCTTTAAGATGTGATCCCTGCTGCATGAAACAATTTTCCTTTCTTTAATTGTAACTATGCATGGATTTATCAACATTATGTTGAATATAAGTGATGAAAAACCTCTTAAGAGCAATGTTCAGAAACTCGCATCCGACCTAAGCAGAGTTACTCAAACGAGTTCGAGTGG